TTTTTTTTTTTTTTTTTTTGAGGATCAAGAAAGATCAAAAACAGGGGGCAACTATATTTTCAAATGAAAGATTTAAAAATTAATCTTTATGCTTATTAAATTTTTGTATTTTTGTACAAAAACAATAGATCAAAAGTCTATAATTTACTCCAAATTATTGTTTACAGTAATATTTAATTTATGTGCACTGTTGTCACTCCGTTTGATATAACAAATATTAGTGAACGATTACATCGCACAATTTTGTACTACATTTTTTACAGAACATACTGATCCATATTATTTACTGAAGATAAATAAAATCCTCATTTAAGTGCGAACACAGAATTCATTATTAAATGTAATAATGACGAAAATTCTGTTGTTCCATAATAAACATCTTAAGATACAAATGAATTTTCTACAGTACAAAAGATTTATTTTAATTACTGGTCAGACTTTATTTTATCATAAAGTCTTGTATATACATATATATCAAAACGGAAGTAATGAGTTTAAGACTGTGTTTCTATATTGGATAGAGTTAGATGTACATTTGAAATATATAGATTTATAGTAATAACATTGTTGTATATAACATGGTCCAGTGAGTAAGACGAAAAACTGTTAGTGCACTGTTCCTAAAGAAAACGGTATTTTCTGCAAAGCAGAAAATACCGTTTATTCATACTGAAATATTGTAAAGTAGATATTAATTCCAAAGAGGAAAAAAATACAGTGCTTTTATTAATTACATACTTTGTGCCTAATTATTAAAATTATAAAAAATTATTTGTTTTGGAGATTTGTTGATATTTTTTGATTTTAAGTAGCCCCCTGACATGTGCAACTTGCAACAAAATGACGTTACTTGTTCAGATATGATTATTTTTGAAATTTATACTGTTAATTTTTATATTTTACATTGTATATATTTTCAAACTAATATTTAAATATAATATATTTAAAAAAAAAAAGAAAGTAATATACAATTCATTTAATTCTCCCACAACTCAGATTTATTTATCAAGTTCCAAAAATTCAAATGAAATTTTATGATAATGAAATATTATTTACAGAGATATTTACAATATCTTGTAATTTAAAAAATTGAAATGTCCAATTATACGGCGCAATATTTTAAATTATATAAATTAATACACTGACATATAAACTATATTTAAATTATGTTTAGGAACAATGGAAAAGGAAAGCATTAATGTTAATGAGATTAATTATTAAAACAATTACTTAATTTTAAAATTTCATTGTACAAAGAAATAATAGAAATTTATTTTAGTTTTACTATGTGTTTAAATAAAAGAATAGCAAGAACAATAGTTAAACAAAAATTGACAAGATAAGTCTGGAAATTAATTCGATATTTAGAATGTCGTTGTACTTTTATTCGTGACGTGGAAAAACATTTTAAATCATATGTCATCAAATTTTTTTTCATGCATTTTTTTTCACAAATTTATTTCCATAAATGTACTTCTCACATAAAAGGACGTCATTGTAGTAAATTACAGTCGAATTTGTAAGAAGTTGTTTAGTTGATCAGGAACGTGTGCGTGTGTGTGTGTGCAGTCATTATTTTGTATATATACTCTTCAGTAAATTAAATAAATTAGGTACATTATGTTAAGACAATTAATTTTTGAATCGATATTTTTTCAAATGTAATAATCTTTGTTTAAGTTTAACTGTAATAATCGAGTAAGTATCAACAATGCAATGACACTGTTTCAAACAATAAGGTTATGTTATTAATTGTTGATTTTTGATAATAGTACGACATTTTAATGGTTTACTTAGAACAAAATATTTTATTTGTACGAATTAAAGCCCTGAAATCAAATTTTGCAATGCATGTGCAATGTTTTTCCATAACATTGTCATAAATAAATTTCTACACTTGATTAAGCATGTCAATTGTTTTGACGTGTTTTCAAAATGTTTTGATACAAAATGAATATTTCTCATAATGTATATGTAATATATGATTTAACAAGTTTTTTGTTTCAATAAATGAAATCTCAATTGTGAAATAAAACTTTTTTTAGACTTACTCATGATTTTTTTTTTGTAATTAGCAATTATCTCAAGTATATGAAAATATTGACTTTTATTTATAAATATATGTAGAAAGATCATGTAAGATCATTGATCATAGCGGTGTATGGTTGGCAGAAATTTTATCCCTATTTCTGGGTTTCAGCCAAAGAAACAGAGCTTATTCAGCAGTCAGAATTAGACTGTTTTATGAACAAAACTTTCTTTGTGTTTTACGTCAGTTTCAATTTGAAAACAGAAAACACTTTCAGCTTTTCAAAATTATTAAAACAAAATGGAAAGAAAATTGAAACCATTAGAGAATCAAGTGTCCCAGATACTTAATCGTTCAATTTGTTATATGTACATATATATTTATTTATATTTACAAATTGTTTCAAATAAAACACATATGCAGCTTAACCAATTTGGATTGAATGATGACTATGCAAAAATATAGAAATTTCTAAATTACACATTTTTACAAAATATTAAAATTCATTTTAAAATAATAACAGCTATATATTTTTAATATTATATTTTTTAAGTTCAACCATGATCAAATTTTGTTTTGACGTTCTATTCTATTATACAGGTGTAAAAAGAAAATGAAAATGAAACGTAGTAGGTCTCTATCTCCTAAAGCTTCAAGTAGTGAAGAAGATATGAAACGCGTCAAATTTGAAGAAAGTGAAAAGACAAATGATATTATAACACATCCACATGTGTTGGATTTTTCTGATGATGTTCTGTTAAACATATTAAAATATCTGAATCCCAAAGATCTCATGACAATAAGTTTGTAAGTTTAATAAAATAAACAAATGAATATATTTATATGGATATATTTTCTTTTATTATGTTATTATTGTTTCCAGATCTTGTCAACGATTAGCCCAGATAGTACAAGATAAAACTTTATGGAGAAGAGTGGATTTTCGAGCAGCACCTATATTACTGAATGACTTAAAAGAATATATAAAATTTCTTCAACCTATAACAATAAGTCTTGCTATACGTGGTGATTTATATTGTGAGAATGATACAGAACTTAGTCTTTGCTTTTTTAACTGCATTAAAACTACATGCATTCAACTTAAAGAATTAATTATTGAAGAGTATTGTATTAATGGAGATGAAGTAAGTTTAATTACTTAACTGATTAATTGCTTTATAGAAGAAATTAAAAATTTCTTTTGCAAATAATATTTTTTTCTCTACAGATTCAAATAACAGATTTTCCAAGAACCATAGAAAAACTTTCATTAGAAGGTTGCAAAATTGAACATTTGCGTAGTAATAAATCATATTTTTTCAGGATGAATTTCCATATGCCTAATTTAACAGTAAGAATCTCTTTACTTACTATAAAGAATAATTACTTTTATTATATATTTTATTATAAATCAATAACTATGACTTACAGAATAATTGAAAATTGAGAAATTCTTTCATTTACTAATTATTTAATGGATTTATTCTTTTCTATTGTAGTAATATTTTAGTAATACAACTTTATAGTATAAACTACATAACTTTGCTTATATATGTTTATTATTATTGTTTCCTGTTTTACATTGTTTGATTTTTTACACAATTGTTTAATATTTGATAATTTATAACATTTGCATATTTTCAGTGTTTAATTTTAAGCAATTGCCAATGGTTTACCCCACATTCATTGTTGGTCATTAGTAAGATGCCAAAGTTAAAGGAATTAAGGCTAAATTCGTGTCACCGTTTAGGTGAATGCGTCGCATACACTAGTTTAGCTACAAGATTTGGATTTAAGACATTAGAAGTAAATAATTTTATTTATTGTTATTAATGTTTCTATTTAATAAATCAACGAATTAAATGATTAAGCAATTATATATTTCAGATCCTTGATTTGCGAGATACAGCGCTTGGTGACAGCGAAGTTGGATGTTTTAGTTGTACTAAAACTTTAACACATCTTTACCTGGAGTGTCCTTCCAGTTTACGAAATGCAGAATCATCTGATGAACTTCGACCTTTACAACGAGAGGCTTTAAATCAACTTCCTGTATATGAAGATGGAAATCTTGCACAAGTATGTACAACATGCAAAAATTATATAATAAAATTACATATAAACAATTCTTATAATTCTCTCTATAAAAAATTCTTATAATTTCTCTTTTTTGTTTATTTTTTCTTTCTTTTAGTTTTTCGTGGAAGATGGATTTCGTTGGGAAAATTATATGTTTGGACGTTGTCTAATAACGGATAGAGCAATTTGTGCTCTTGGTAGTGATACATGTGATCGTATAATCAACAATTCAGCAGAAGAAGTTATAGTTGTAGAGGGAGACAAACGGATATTTAATAATCCTCATTTAAAAACACTGGTTGTTAGGTATTATATTATTATATTCGTTGAAAGTTTTTAATTTAAATAAAATTAATAGTAATAACTAGCAATTTTTTCTATGTATTTCAGAAATTATCCCCATGTTACAAATTCGAGTCTTGTACATTTGGCTTTAAATGCATCAAGTCTAGAGCATTTGGATGTAAGTGGAACATCTGTTACAAGGCAAGGTGTTGAAACTTTCAAGTCGCAAAGACCGAACGTTAAAATAGTTACTTCTTTTGATGAAACATAGTTATAACAAACTATAAATCTGTGAATTTAGTACGATTAACAAAACTTAAGTATATGTTTAATACATGTTTGAACATTGGCAGGCACAAGCAAAAATATAGAATCATTCGGAAGCCTTCAATAATATGATAGTTTTACTGTTGGATAAATCTATTTTCCGCAAGAAATTAATATATTCGTAAGGATTAAAAATAAACAATTTTTTATTTTTCATTAAATAATGTAAATTTCAGAATATATGTTCTAAAATATATTTTCGCGTTTTTAGAATAATATTTCAAATTAATTTTATAACTCCATGTGTGTTCAATATATTTATTCGCGCATGTATTACAATCCCATTACATTGTATATAAATATTTGTGTGCAGTCTGATATTATTTTCTGTAGTGTAATAAATTAGATACACTATCTTGAATTAATGGTAATGAAATTTCATTATCAAATGAAGATACTAATATGTACGAAATATTTTAAATACAATATTCAACAAGAGAACGAGCGAGCGAGCGAACGAGCGAGAGAAAGAGAGAGAGAGAGAGAGAGTATGTATATTATATGCAATACTTATAATAGAAAAGAACAAACAGTAGAGAACCAAATAAGTTTTTACTTCTCTACTACATCTTTTTAAGTTTATACATCTATTCGATATAAGAAAATCGTATATTTAGGATATTTAAGAATTGATCAAATGATTTTTTAGTGCAAAGATTATTTATTATAAAAAAAATAAATAGGAGTTATAAACTAACAGTACGTGATGGTAATATTTTAAAAAATTGTTAACTAAATAATTCGCGTATGCATGTTTGTATAAATCAATTCCTTCAAAAATATTTATAAACGTAATCAAAATTTTATACACTGATCATCATTTATAAAACATTATTATTTTATATTTGAAATTATGTAAGGATTACAATCATATACAACCATTGTATTACTGATTTTTATACTATAGAACATCATTCCATTTTTTTTTTCATATTGTTAATATCATCGCATGTAATAAAACTTCTATTTCATCAAATTATTATAAATTATAAATTATCTACTTTTTCATAATTTATAAAAAACAGTAAAAGAATAGTCATATCTTTAACTGTTATGCACGTAAAACAGTTTTTATTTAATATGATGTGAATCATGTTTTGCATGGATAACTCAAAGTAAAAATGATAGCATTTCCAAAATATTTATCCCAGATTCAGAACAATACTGTATGTAAATATATAAAAAGAGTATGTACTAAATTAATTCTTCTAAATTATTTACAATTATCACAAAAAATAATATTATGTCATTCATTTTAAAGAGATTCGTTTCTATTTCGAATAAACAATACAAGGCACATCAAGACTTCAAAGGCATTTCTAGAAAAATAAATAAAACTTCAAGTACATATTTTGATATAGAAAGTTCAACAGAATCTTGTAATGGTATGCGTCTTATATGTGAGCATAGAAATTCTTTCACCACCACCATAGGATGTTTCATTCCAGCTGGTGCAATGTATGAAACACAGGATGAACGTGGTAGTGCTTTATTTTTAGAACATTTATTTTTCAGAGTAAGATAAAGATATAACATGAGTAACATATAAAATTTATTAAAATGAATATTGAATACTTACACTTCATATAGAGAACAAAATGTTACGACAAAGAACAAATGAAATGTAATTTTATGGAACAATAGTTTCATGCAAAATAGACAAAATCATTCAGTTATTTGCAAATGTAATTTCGAATGGAGTAAGTTAAATAGAACAATTTCACAAAATATCCTATGAAAATAATATACAATAATGCATTATCTTAATATTTTAGGTGATAAAGATGTTATACAGGAAAAAGTTGTAATTTTAGAAAAACTTTCTGAAATGGAATCAGATAGAGAAAAAATTGTAATGGATTATTTACCAACTATTGCATATCAGAATACTGCTCTTAGTAATAGTGTATATCCTGAAACTGATACAATAAAGTAAGCAAAAAAATTGGAAGATAATATTTAGTTATACAAATTACTTGATAGATTTATTCATTAATCAAAACATTAAATTCTTAGAAAATTTTCTACAAAAAATTTATGTGAATTTCGCAATCGTTTATTTGAAACATGTTACATGACGATGGTTTGCACTGGATCCATTTGCTTAAAAGAATTGCAAAGAATTATCTGTAAACATTTTGACTGTAATGTTGAGGATTATAAATCATCATTTGGAGTTTCTAATAAATTACGATTTTATAGGTACAAAAGTTCATAGTATTCTGCTACTTTCTTATATTTTTATACAAATATTTCATGTACAATTTAGCTGCTGAACTACGATTCAGATGACAATGAACTGAGATATGCAGCAATAGGATTTGAAGGATCAAGTTACAAAGAACGTGAAGATAGAATTGCCCTTACTGTAGCCAAAGAAATCATAGGTTCTTGAAATCTGACAAATGGTAAGTGTACAATATTCTACATTTGGCTACAATTTAATAAATAAAATTAGTAAATAAACCATCTGATACTCTTATATTATTTTTAGGTGGAGTAAATCACAATGCATCATTTATTGCACACTTTGCATAAAATACAGATTTATTATGTTACATGTACAAATCCTTTTTTCATCATTGGGCACAGTTTACCAGTATTTGGGGCTGTTGTTTGTGACTATTCAACTCTTTTGGTATATTTTAAACATTGAAGCAAGAACGCTTTATTCTCGATAATTTATATATTCATAATATTTATATAGTATATGGTTCGTGCATTGCAAAAAGAATGGATGAAATTATGCACAGTAATAACCGAGAAAGAAGTATCTCGAGCTGTTCGTCAATGTATTACAAAAGATTTGCTGATACTAAACAATCCGGAAAATCGTTTTCTTGACAATCGTTGAAAATATTTTTAGATGTGAGTGTTACGAACCTGTCAAACATAGAGTTGTAGAATATGAAGTAAAATTTATTGTTATTAAGTAATTTACATTTTTACTGTGAAATAATAGATTTACATTACATTAATTTCTATATTACAGAAAGTAACTGCAGATAAAATAAGAGAAGTCTCTGGCAAATATATCTATTATCAAAGCCCTGTTGTCGTAACTCTTGGCTGTATTGAAGGTTTCCCAGATTATATTACGTTAAAAAGTTGTCTGTATTTATTACGATATTAAAGGTTTACAACATTAATTAATAAAATATAACAGTTGCTCTTTGTGAAAAAATATTTATAATGCAAGTACACGTATCTACTCAAGCAGTCAATTCCACTAGAAAAAGAAACAAAATCATGAAATAAAATTATAATTATATATTAAGATATTTTACATATCAGTTATTTCTCGAGATAATTTTCACAATTTTGTAATTATTATGGAAAATGTATTTAAGAAATAATAAAAATAACGCCAATAATCCG